TTTTATGTCATAATTAACGTAATTTGGACCAAAAATTCACGTTATTATCACGTGACCTTGCTAGCTGGGCTGCTATCTCCCTAACCTTAATTCGACGGTTGTCTATTATCATTTGATGAATTTCTTCGATGTTATCAGTGGTGGTCGCAGTTGTTGGCCGTCCCGAACGCTCACCATCAGCTAAGCTGGTACGACCACGTTTAAATTCAGCTACCCATCTTTTCACAGTGGCAAATGATGGGGCAGAGTCCCCGTAAACAGCGTCCAACTCGGCTTTAATTTGCGTAGACGTATTGGCTTTCAAATGCAAGAATTTAATTATAGCACGATATTCAATTTTTTCCATTTTTACAAAATGACGACACAAATGATTGTCAAATAAGAACTGAACGTCCAAAGTGGCCACAATTGTCACAAATATCTTTCGTAAGTATCACGATTATAATACCAGAATGGCTTTGACGAGTAACGCCATCTTCATGATGAGGCTCAAAACTTTTCAGACGACCTTCGTACACAATGAAACGCACATTGCAATATTACATTAGCGTAACACAAAACATGATCGTCATTGCGGAGGCCATATATTTTGTAACTATACTTTCTGATTCCTCGCAACCATAATTCTGTACATCATCACTGATATGAGGTATGACCCATCGATAGTCGTGAATTTTCACAGCCTTTTTCTCGGACGAATTGATTTGTGATAGCTGAGATTTGAACATAGATCTCAGAATTATATTCTGCAATGGCTCCCGTGTTTGCTTTAACAGATACCGGATTAAAATTTATCAAATGTAGGCCTTCCAATGTACTCATTCGTGACAAACCTACATAAGCTTGACCATCACTGAACACACTCGTTCCTAGATCCATCATTGCATTTTTACACGTAATTCTTTGACTTTTGTGTACAGTTATTCCATAACTGAGAGACAATGGAAATTGTTTCCGTTGTACCACGATTTTGTTGAATACTTAGAATTTTATATCTACTTTCGTTTCTTTGTTATCCGAAATAACTATTTTAATGGAATCAATACGATTTCCATCAACAGAGCGATTAACTGCAACATTACCAATCGTTCCATTGACAAGTCCCAAAGTCAATGTTTCGTCGAATCATCACTTTAGCGCCAATTTTAATCGCTAGTACTCTTTCAGTGTCAGCTGTGTCCGAAACTTTGTCATCTTTGTCTTCAAAATTTTGTGCACTTTTTTTCTCATTGCCGGAACACAGTCGACATCATCTTCTGCTATCAGTAGAATTTCATCACCGTGAATTCTATCGAGCATTGTTGTGTTCAAAACCTTGCACAAATAACACGTGGGTAATAAACATATTGTATCAATCGGTAATTAAGTCATATAAGTGCAAAGTTCATTCAATCTTTCATCGCAACTACTTTCTTTGAAATGGATTTTTCTCGACTGAAAAACATTGATGTCCGAATCCGTTACCAAATTCGTATTCTAGAAAGTATATCGCGATA